TCCATTGTACGTCCACCAAAGAAAAACTATGTTAATAATAATTCGGGACATTTTACAGAACGCCGTGAACAAAAATGCTAAATTAGATTTAAATTTGATGTTAAACGGAAATGAATGTTTGTCCATTATCGAAAATCAACACATCTTTAAAGCAGTGCAAATGTTTATAAGTCATACAAAGAGATTTGGGTAACACTTTAATGTACATATACTAGTCTCTCTCTTTTGTACATTTCTTGTTATCTTTACACTCATCTTCTTTTCTGTTTTTCTTGTATATGATTTACTGTACAAGCTTTGTAAATACCATGGAGAGGGAGTCCTAAGTTGGATAACTTGTTCCCAATCCATTTCAATCTGAATAAAATATGTTTAAATCATAGAATTAAGTTCGTTCACCCACCCGTCTGTCTGAAGTCAGGGTCAAATGTGCGTTGACCAACGGGAACAGTGTTCCCGACTCCACTGCGCTAAAGATCCAGAATCGCTTCCTCGACTGACACAGGCTCGGAGCCAACGGTAAACCGGATGCCCAATGTTGTCGCCTTTAACGGCAAGCAATGATGTGCTGGGGACACATTCTACCAAGGAGACCCGTGAAGATTCTGGTTAGAATAGGTCTTCAGCAACCCATGCTTGCCGTTAAAGGCGAATCCTTGTCATAAGAGGCTACTATGACTTCGTTGAGACCCGTGAAGATCCGGGATAGAATAGGTCTTCAGCAACTTATGCTTGCCGTGAAAGGCGAATATGCTTGTCGAAAGAGGCGACTAACGGGATCGGGTGGTCAGGCTCGCTGACTTGGTTGATGCATGTCATAGATCCCAATTGCGTGGATCGATTTTCATGATGTCAATCACTGGATTGTCTGGCCCAGGCTCGATTATTTAGAGACCGCCGTCATATAGCTGGAATATTGCTGAGTGCGGCGTTAAACGACAAACCAACAAACCAACGTGGCCAAAGCGATGGCATAAATCCTGCTGGGAATCATGCAAGAGTGAGTTGGGTTAACGTCGCTTTTAACAGTATTCCAGTTGTATCGCGGAGTGTCAGCTTAATGTGGGAGGAAAGCCCGAAGTGATGCAGGTCTCAGACATTCACCACTTCGGTGAAACCCACGAGCACGGGTATGGTGCTGATAAACCTAGAAACATAATCGGGGCGAACCCGGGATTCGAACCCACAGTCATAGGTTTCGGGCGTGCCGAAGGGACGCAACTCTGCACAGCGAATCGCGGCGCCTTAGACGACTGGGCCACCCGTGCCCCCGAATCATGCAGGAATCAAAAGCACTGTAAGTCCCCATGATCCCTAGTTAGCTGGTCTAGCGTTGGTTGCCAGTGGTCTATAGCCAGGATTTACTTTCTAATAACTAATAGACTGAAAACTTCTGTTTTAATATTGCTCGGGTAAATTTTATGTCTACACTGTGATAATTACCTCACTGTTTTACTGTCCTTTGTCGACAGGAATTTCATAAAAATAAACATGTTCTCATCGCGATATGGCTGCAATATTGCCAGTGCAATGTAAAATCATAACTCGCTCATCGTTTCACAATTGTCTGGATCTATGCCCACGATGCGGTTGTAAAACTGGCATATTTTAAACAATGTGCAAACAATTTGAAACAAAATACAGTCAGTCAGTCATTGGATTGGTTGGTTTGTTGTTGAACGCCGCACTCAGCAATTTTCTAGCTATATGACGGCGGTCTGTAAATAATAGTCAGGACCAGACAATCCAGTGATTGATATCATTAACATTCACGCAATTGGGATCGTTGACATGCATCAACCAAGTCAGCGAGCCTGACCACCCGATCCCGTTAGTCACCTTTTACTACAAGCATAGTCGCCTTTCCCGGCAAGCATGGGTGGCTGAAGACCTATTCTACCCCGGGCCTTCACGGGTCCAGTCATTGGATAACTATGTGTGAAAAAGTATTGGTCATTTTTTCTTCAGATGGTACTTTTCCCAGTCTCCTCCAGAAAAGAAATGTTACGCTGATCAGTAATGCTGAGTGCCAGTCCCGTGTGTCCTCCTTGGGTGCCACCATCTTGTCAGTAGACACGTGTGTTGATGGAAACGTCATCTCAGAGGTATCTATATTTAAGTATTTTACAAAATGTAATTTGTCTATTATGTTATGGGGGCACGGGTGGCCCAGTCGTCTAAGGCGCCGCGATTCGCTGTGCAGAGTTGCTGTGCCTTGGACACGCCAGAAACCTATGATTGTAGGTTCGAATCTCGGTTCGACCCGATTATTTTTCTAGGTTTGTCAGCACCATACCCGTGCTCGTGGGTTTCACCGAAGTGATAAACGTCTGAGACCTGCATCACTTCGGGCTTTCCTCCCACATTAAGCTGACATGCCGCGATATTACTGGAATATTGTTAAAAGCGGCGTTAAACCCAACTCACTCACTATTATGTTTGCTTTGGACCAAAGGTCTTATAAAACTTTACATATAGCCTTCCAGCATTGTATCTAACGCTGACTTGGTCGATGCATGTCCTCAATCCCAATTGCGTGGATCGATGCGCATGATGTCAATCACTGGATTGTCTGGTCCAGACTCGATTATTTACAGATCGCCGTCATATAGCTGGAATATTGCTGAGTGCGGCTATACTGATTGAATTGACAGGTAGTAATGTTGGATTACATGGAGAAACTGTGTATTTTTTTTATGTTTGCTTCTGCAGGGCGATGATGGTAGTCCGCTCATATGCAACGGAATAGTCGTTGGGGTTGCATCTTGGTCTGTAGATGGCAGCTGTGGTAAAAGCGTCAGCGTCTTCATAGCTTCCGGAAATTTTTTTGTGGGATAATTATGTCAACCCACGCTAATAAAGATGCACCAGTAAAATTGTCAATTTGCTGAAGGCAATGAATACGAACATAAACCTACTTTCACCTCAACTAAATTGTTTGTTGTTTGTACTAAATTGTTTGTTGTTTGTTGCTACACTCACCGTGGGACGCGGAATAAAATTTAGGATTAGAATTATTTAATCTAAATATAATTATATTATAACTGTTTCGGCTGAAATACTGCCGACGTGACTTTAAAATTCACTCACTCACTCACCCCAAGTTTCGTTAAAAATGTTGAACGATTTTCAACTAACTGACCGGAAATGAACCCAACCCTCGGTTGATTTGTTTGTTTGTTGTTTTACACCGCACTCAGCAATATTCCAGCTATATGACGGCGGTCTCTAAATAATCGAATCTGGACCAGACAATCCAGTGATTGACATCCTGAATCACTTCGGGCTTTCCTCCCACATTAAGCTGACCCGCCGTGATGTAACTGGACTACTGTTAAAAGCGGCGTTAAACCCAACTCACTCACTCACTCTTGCCTCTGGAAGATGGCGAGATACCTTATGAACCCCCAAATGACCCACCTTACAAATACATCCTTTTTTAATTTAACGCTTCATTCTGGCGCTGTCTAAGCGAACATCCTATTTTATGGGTGCTTGTCTTAAAGACGATGTTGATGGTATTAAAATATGCATTAGTCTATTAAGGAAGACAATTATGATCAAAGCGGGATAGGCAATTAACACAATCATGTCCTCTTCCGCTTGACCTGGTCGCGAAGTCGTGACAGAACGCTTCGTCGGCTGTCATGGCACATTGCAACCTGGTCGTGCCGCCACGTGGGGATTCTAGATCAGAATGGGCTTCCTGTCACCCGTGCTTTCTCCCGAGCGACAAACGGTTTACCCACGAATGTCTGCTTAAGACAGATCAGGACGATCCTCCTAAGTGTAACCGTGAAGATCCGGGGTAGAATAGGTCTTCAGCAACCCATGCTTGCCGTTACAGGCGACTATGCTTGTCGTAAGAGGAAACTAACGGGATCGGGTGGTCAGGCTCGCTGACTTGGTTGATGCATGTCATTGTATTCCAATTGCGTGGATCGATGCTCATGATGTCAATCACTACTTTGTCTGGCCTAGACTCGATTCTTTACAGACCACAAAGAATTCCGACCCTATGCAACCCGGTGTTCGGGTGAAGCAGCGACCACTACATTACTAAGTGCATGTTGAGATTGTTTAACGCACTTTCGAAGATACGTCTTCTGGATCATAGAAAAGAATAGGTCTTCAGCAACCAATCCTTGCTGTAAAGTTGTATATGCTTGTCGAGTGAGTGAGTGAGTGAGTGCGTGGGTGCGTGCGTGAGTGCGTGAGTGAGTGAGTGAGTGAGAGGTTTTACGCCGCTTTTAGCAATATTCCAGCAATATCACGGCGGGGGAAACCAGAAATGGGCTTCACACATTGTACCCATGTCGGGAATCGAACCCGGGTCTTCGGCATGACGAGCGAACGCTTTAACCACTAGGCTACCCGACCGCCCCATATGCTTGTCGAAAGAGGCAACTAACAGGATCGGACGGACAGGCTTGCTGACTTGGTTTATGCATGTCATCGTATTCCAATTGCGTGGATCGATGCTCATGACGTCAATCACTAGATTGTCTGATCCCGATTCGAATATTTACAGACCGTCATAGCTGGAATATTGCTGAGTACGGCGTTAAACAAACAAACAAACAAACAACAAACAAACAAACAAACTTTGACACTGAAGATGTACTGTTATACTCAAGACACTGGCTATTGCTTTTTTCAAACTAAATCAAAACGTGGAAGATGCTGTACGATGAATCATTTTATTTCAAATATATCATTGGTTGGTTGTTTGGTTTGGTGTTTAACGCTGCACTCAGCAATATTCCAGCTACAGGACGGCCAAATATATCGGCCAAATATATCAACAAGCGTCGAGTATCGATTAGTATCGAAATATTTCAAATCAAACACTCAGTTGATATTCTCTTAAAGCGGCTTTAAAAAACAAACAAACAAAACATTAAACCTAAAAAACGTTCTCCGTTTACATGATCACCGACATGAATGAAATCACACTTGCTGTTAGTGTTTCCACCCGACACTGTTTTTACAAGCCCATGCGTGCGTGACAGCTTTAAAGCCTACTGAAGGGCTCGTTCCCATGGGATGTCACTGAAATATACATAGCCCGCTGTCAGTGTTTCTTCAGCGGGATGATCGATTTCCAGGTACGTCCGTCACGGCCTACACTCGCAGTCTCCTCCATTCTTGAATCTAACCTTGGACATTCTTCCCACAACGCAAATGAGTCGACACAGGTAAGATTCTGACACACATATAACCTTTACGTTTCATAATGTAAATTGCATGATTGACAGTGAAGGAAATGTACGCCTTTGCAGTGAAATAGGAAATAGACAAGGTTGATTGATCTGTTTATAGATAGAATGTTCGATCAGGGGCATTACGTGCACAAGTTAAGGCGGGTAGGGCTGTGAGAGGTAAGTACTCTGGCAATATATAGAATTATGTCTAACTTCCATCATAAGACCCGCGTCGATCGGGGTAGAACTGGTCTTCAGAGACCCATGCTTGCCGTAAAAGGTGAATATGCTTGTCGTCAGAGGCGACCATCGGGATCGGGTGGTCAGGCTCGCTGACTTGGTTGATGCATGTCATCGATCCCAATTGCGTGGACCGATGCTCATGATGTCAATCACTGGATTGTCTGGTCCAGACTCGAACATTGTTGAGTGCGGCGTTAAACAACAAACAAACCATCCAACTCAATCCGGGTACTCTTTTCACAAGACCGTGGAGGCTGTCTTGTCGTATGAGCAAAAGTATTATCCTCAATATTGCTTAATGCCCAATGCCAATATCAACGCATAATACTATTCCAAAAGAGACACGATTGACTCCGGGGCAGTGGGAGTCGAAATTGGTTCACGGAGTTGCGTCCCTTAGCCATGCTGGAACCGCATACCCAATCCCGGATTAATTTCGTCCCTGGTGTTCCCCAAAGTGATCATAAAGTTTTTCTCCCAAAATAAGCTAACAAGCCGTGATATAACTTAAATACTGTTCAAAGCGACGTTAACACTGACTAACACTGACATTTAAGCGTATGGCTGTCTGACTGACAATGAAACATGTCTACATATGAACACATCTGTTCCGCTGATACAAATGGGCCGGTGGCCTCATTGTTCCCACGGAAGACAAGCCGCCTCATTGACTGAATTATGCATACTTCGCACTGTTGTAGTGTGTGTATCTCAAAAAGAGAATACGAAAGTGTGTTTGGCCTGTAGTTACATAATTCGCACTAATTAATGAAACATGTTCTGCTTCTTCACTGTGTTCTCTCTCACCCGTGAAGATTCCGGGGTAGAATAGATCTTCAGCAACCCATGCTTGCCCTAAAAGGTGACTATGCTTGTCGTAAAAAGCGACTAACGGGATCGGGTGATCAGGCTCGCTGACTTGGTTGATACATGTCATCGTATCCCAATTACATGGATCGATGCTCATGATATCAATCACTGGATTGTCTGGTCCAGACTCGATTATTTACAGACCGCCGTCATATAGCTGGAATACTGCTGAGTGCGGCGTTCAACAACAAACAAACAAAAATCACTGTGTTCTCATAGTACTATTTTTATGATTGACGCTACTGCGCTGTGCATCACTGCGTTTGTTTGTCTGTTTGACGCCGTACGTGAGTGTGGCAAGTTGATGAAATAAAAGAATTTCGGCTTTAAAAATTCCCAAGTGTATGTTTTCGAGAGTTTAATAGGGATTTGTATATGCTATTGTCTTTTTTTAACTTGTTGTTTTACGCAGAAATTAGCAATATTCCAGCAACATGACGATGATCTGTCTATAATCGAATCTGGATCACACAACGCAGTGATTGACATCATGAACATCCAGGGGCCACGGGTGGCCCAGTCGTCTAAGGCGCCGCGATTCGCTGTCCAGAGTTGCGTCCCTTGGGCACGCCAGAAACCTCTGATTGTGGGTTCGAATCCCGGTTCGCCCCGATTATGTTTCTAGGTTTGTCAGCACCATACCCGTGCTCGTGGGTTTCACCGAAGTGGTAAACGTCTGAGACCTGCATCACTTCGGGCTTTCCTCCCACATTAGTGACCCGTGAAGATCCGGGGTAGAATAGGTCTTCAGCAACCCATGCTTGCCTTAAAAAGGCGACTATGCTTGTCGTAAAAGGCGACTTACGGGATCGGGTGGTCAGGCTCGCTGACTTGGTTGATGCGCGGTCATCGATCTCAATTGCATGGATTGATGCTCATGATATCAATCACTGGATTGTCTGGTCCAGACTCGATTATTTACAGACCGCCGTCATATAGCTGGAATATTGCTGAGAGCGGCGTTAAACAACAAACCAACCAACCAACCAATCCTCCCACATTAAGCTGACACGCCGTGATATAACTGGAATACGGCGTTAAACCTCACTCACTCACCCCATGAACATCCAAAATTCGCTCTGATTATGTTTTTGGGTTTGCCATTACCAACACGTGTCTTTGAAAAATTGGTAAACATCCGGTCACTTCGGGCTTTCCTCCCACAGCGGACTGACACGTCCTGATGTACTCGTAACTGGAACACAGTTCAAAGCCGAGTTTAGACTCACACACTCTTCCTCTAAATGAGGTGAGGTGAAATGGGATTTCGTGGCCTTCCTATCGACGTATTGGACGTGTTTGTGGCTGCATGTACTTGTCTGGATTTATGGCAATTGTACATGTTATGGCGCCAGCCTACAGAAACACCATGGCCGGTTGGAATATGGATACCCCACTCAGGCACAGTTTTCTGACTCCGAGCTGACCAGTCCTTGTTTTAGACCCTTAATGCTGAGTGCCATGAGGATAACAAGAAGTTCAACGTATTTTTGGAATGACACGGCCAGGAGATCGAACCACCGACCTTTCGCTCTCCGCGTAGATGCTCTATCAACCAGACCTTGGAGGTGGTCTCCACTAAGATGGGGTTAAGAACAAGGGGGCCTGGTGTCAAGTTAGTGAAAAGGTCACATGTGGACCTGCCATTTCATATTTTTAAGGGCTGGGATTCGGTGTTGGAGACATGATTTTTTTTTCAAATACGCTTTGAAAACGCAATTGTTAGACTTTTTCAAGGAGCAATTTTTTTTTCAAAAGAAAATCCCACACATCCCGATCATTCCAGAATATCGGAGCCCCGAGAAACTCACCATTTCAACCGTTAGCCACGAAGTGCTCGTGCTGGCCGATCAAGGAATGAGTTTTCTTTAAATTTACTTCTTTCTATTGTTTGTTTGTTTGTTGTTTGACGCCGCACTTAACAATATTCCAGCTGTATGACGGCGGTCTGTAAATGATCGAGTCTGTACCAGACAATCCAGTGACAAATAGCATGCGCATTGATCTACGTAACTGGGATACGATGACATGCATCAACCAAGTCATCAAACCCGAACACCCTAACCGGTTAGTCGCGAGAAGCGTGGCTTGCTGAATACCAATTCTAATATCTTTACGTTTCTTTAAAACCAAAGGTACTAAATTAATCTATATTCAGTGTAAACCGCGGGGCGAAAGAAAGTATACCGAGTCTTTTTTTTGTAATAAATTATTGAAAAATTAAATGAACTGTTGTTAAACTTGATTATTTCTGATTAACCATCACTCCGGCAACAGTTTGAAAAAGTTATCTGTGGCTGGGTAATTTTGTGTAAAATATGTTGGTTCTATATGAAGACAGTGGTAAGAGCTTAATGTGTGGCCACTACCAGGTTTGAGTGTGTGAGTATGGTTTTACGCCACTTTTAGCAACATTCCAGCAATATCATGGCGGGGGACACCAGAAATGGGCTTCACACATCTTACCGATGTCGGGAATCGAACCCGGGTCTTCTGCGTGACGAGCGAACGCTGGAACCACTAGGCTACCCAACCGCGCACTACCAGTTTTGAAATTTAAGATAAGAAGAAATCTAATTTGATGATAAGATGTCAAGGATCCCTATCAGCAATGTTTTATAGGCGGTTGTTTTTTGTGTGAATTTATTCATGTTTTAAATCAAATTATATTTTAATATATAAACCATGTAGAAGTATTTTTGAGTACTGACTTGGCGCCAGTATATATAAGATCACTAACATAATATATTTTTAAATTGAAAATCACACATATGCCCCTCAGTTAACACACGGTATAAATTACAAATATCTCCATCACACAAGGAATAACGATCAGCTTGATGTTAGAAAATGTCACCGTGTCAGAAGACAACATTCGATCGCCTTTGGTGTGGATTGCGCGGCTCGAATCCAAATGGAAACACTGTTTTCGTCAAACTTGGCTATCAAGTGATAGATATAAATTCCGTCCGGGGTAGAATATTAATAGGTCTTCAGCAACCCATGCTTGCCATAAAAGGCGACTATGCTTGTCGTAAGAGGCGGCTAACGGGATCGGGTGGTCAGGCTCGCTGACTTGGTTGATGCATGCCATCGATCCCAATTGCGTGGATCGATGTTCATGATGTCAATCACTGGATTGTCTGGTCCAGACGCGATTATTTACAGACCGCCTTCATGCAGCTGGAATATTGCTGAGTGCTGCGTTAAACAACAGACAGACACTGGCAAGTATTGTTAAAAAACTAAGAACTGTGCCAGGTAATGAACGCACAAGACAAAACTGTCGTGATTAAATGCGAAATTTGAACCCGAGAAGGAAAACACACACACACACACGCACGCACACACACACACACACACACACACACACACACACACACACACACACATGCATGCATCTCCAGGAAAAACTGTGTGCTTCCGTGCTGAATATTGCGTAAAACAAGTAAAAAAAGACAATAGCATATTATACAAATCCCTATGAAACTCAGACTATCGACACACACTCATACACGCACGCACACACACGTACATTCACACACACGTACATTCACACACACACACACACACACACACACACACACACACACACACACACACACACACACACACACACACACACACACACACACACACACACAAACACACAAACACACACAAATGCATGCATCTCCAGCAAAAAACGGTATGCTTCCATGCTGAAAGATTCTGAGATCGATTCATTCTATTGAGCTGTGCTTGTTGAATTTGAAGGTCGATATTGCTCATTGTTTCTACAGTGTTATATTGCACCGAGCCAGCGAAAGGTTTGCATTCCGGTCGACGACATAGCATCGTGCATAGCGTTCTGGAGTGAACGGGTTGGTTTATGTAACACT